GGGGGGGGGGGGGGGGGGCGGAGCAGGGCCGATGCCTACCGCAGGTGACGTTAGGTATGTAACAATTATTTTCAAACCTTCCAGCAGGTTAGTATCACACAATGGCAGGGGTACTGAAATACCGCTCTCTAGTTTTTTTTTGGGGGGAAATGAGGCGGTTTCTTACGGCTTGATTATTTCGGAGATTTTTGTTCTTTCGGTCGGAGGGGGGGTGGCCTGCATGGAAAAAATGATCAAGATCCAAACGACCGTCTTACGGTTCCTCGAGGTATATTTTTTTTCTGAAGGGAAAAAAGAGGCTGATTCCTGCTGTTGTGGGTCACAGCATGCTTCAGTACAAGGTTTTGGCTCGTGTGCGACCAACAAGACCCCGAGCGCCCTGTTTATGGGTCGCCTGCAGAGGGCATGTGTATCATCGCACGCCACTGGCTGCTGTTTGTGGATGTCGTCGGCTAAAAGCCTCTCTCTGATGGCATGCGTTGTACACTATCACGCTCGACTCGACGCAAGAAGCAGAAAAAAAAAGCAACGTCCAAAAAAGGCAACACCGCAACGCACTTTCCGTTCACGTTCGCAGGCCGTGTGCAATCAGAACTGGACAATACGCTCTGTTTCTGGGACGCGAGCAGAGGGTATGTGTACAACCACACGCCACTGTCTGCTGCTTGTGGATGTCGTCGGCCAAAGGCCTCTCCCTGGCATGCATTTTTGACTGGTCGCGGGTGACACACGGAGCAAACACGCGGCGGCAAGAAAGAAGCCAAAAAAGTCAACACCGCAACACACTTTGGTTCACGTTTACAGGCCGTGTGCAATTAAAACAGGACTATACGCTCTGTTTCTGGTGCGCGAGCAGAGGGGACGAGTATGACCACACGCCATTGGCTGCAGCTTGTGGTTTTCGACGGCCAAAGGTCTCTCTCTGGCGTGCGTTTTGAACTGGTCACACATGCAGCAGGCACGAAAACGGCTTTTTTCGGCCGAAAGGCAAGAACGTCAGCAGAGCAATGTGGCGGGGTTGACGTTTTCGGCTCGTGTGCGGCCAACACGACGCAGAACGCCCTGAATTATAGACGCCTGCAGAGGGTTTGTGCATGGCCTCATGATACTGGCCTCTGTTTGGCCAGCGGACGGTGTAGTTCCTCGTTCTGGCACGATCGGGGTGTGACCAGGGGGTGTCTCCCCCAATTTCTAACAGCGATAATCCCACCCGATCGCTGTTAGAAAATGGGCCAATTTTCTAACAGGACCGCCGGGATTCTCGGAAATACTCGGGCTGTGATAATTTGGGCTGTGATGATTTGCCATTTTCCTCCGCGTAGGCAGCCCAATTTTTTTTTGGGGCTAAGAAAAGTAACCCCCCCCCCAAAATCCAACCGCCCGCCCCGGTATTGCCATCGGGGTTGGGTTTTCGTCGCTTGGCAACGACGTTGTAAAACA